CACAACATCAGCAGCAGCAGAAGCAACAACATCAGCAGCAGCAGCAGCAGAAGCAACAACATCGGCGGCAAAAACTGAATCGCTAACAACGACACCGTCAAAATCATCGACAACTGTAACGATACCGACAACTTCAGCATCAACCTTAATCACATCAACAACAACAACAACATCAACAACAACATCAACATCAACATCAACAACAACAGCGCAACAATAACAACATTATGTATGGTCAGCTAGTACGAATCACAATAATAATCCTTGCCGTTATTACGTCATCAGTAGCTACTACTGCTACTTCTACCACAACTACTACCGAAAACAACAACAACAACGACAACAACAGCAACAACAACGACAACAACAGCAACAACTACAACAACAGCAATAACAATGTTAACTTTCCTGATCAGGGTAATGCTCTTATTCATATCACTGACTATTATAGCATTACTAAGCCTAAAGGTAAAACTGATAATAATACTGACAATGCTTTTGGTACTGTCAACTCCGATAATACTCAGGCCAATAATCTTATTAATACTGGCGTAACCAACAACAACAACAACAACGACAACAACAACATCAACAATAATGATAATAACTACGATGACAGTACTAGCAGTTATACTGCTGATGTTAAGAATATTAACCATAGGATTAATAGTAAGATGATCGATACTACTACAGCTTCTACAGTTACTACTGCGGCTGCTACTACTACCACTGCAGCTGTCGTTACTGCTACAACTACCGCTACTACTACTAATACTACTAATAATTCAGTAGCTAATCTTAAAAATGATGATGATGAGAATGTAACTTATCATGATGATGATGATGGAACAACAACAACATCATCATCATTATCGTCTTCATCATCATCATCATCGCCGTCTTCATCATCGCCGTCTTCATCATCATCATCATCATCATCATCATCATCATCATCATCATCATCATCATCATCATCATCATTAGCCACAACTGACGCGGCTTCACCAGCGACATCTAATGAAACAATGGCGTCATCTTCAACATCATCTTCCTCCTCATCATCATCATTTTCATCATCATCATCATTTTCACCATCATTTTCACCATCATCTCTGCTATCCGGGATTGAAACAACAATAACAACAAATGAAACAACATCATCATCATCATCATCGTCACCATCATCATCATCG